TCAATTATGATTAATTGATTGTTTTATTTCAAATATAATAGTCCATAAAAAATTTTAAAGACTTAATTGATTTTCTTGATTTAAGATTTTTCCATATTTTATTAGCAATTGACCCGTCCCTGTTTTCAAATCATGTGACACGCCACACTTCCGGTTAATCACGGGAACCACATCCACATAATAGAAAAGCTCATCCACATAATAGAAAAGCTCATCCACATGATAGAAAAGCACCTTCGTATAATAGAAAACCACCATCGTATAATAGAAAACCACCTTCGTATAATAGAAAACCACCTTCGTATAATAGAAAACCACCATCGTATAATAGAAAACCACCTTCGTATAATCGAAAACCACCTTCGTATAATAGAAAAGCACCTTCGTATAATAGAAAAGCACCTTCGTATAATAAAAAAAAACACCTTATTATAATAAAAAAGACACATAAGACAGCTATGGCGTTCCATACATTATGGATGGGGGAGTGTTATATGCCGCCACTGACGTCCGAGGGCCTGTATCCTAGGTGTTAGATAATGGACCGCCATTTCACTGTCTTACGACATTGGTCCTGATAAAGCTTCCTGTCATCGTTATTACTATGTCCGAGACTCATCGACCAGTACTCCGTCATCGTGGTTAGCGGGCTGCACAGCTGACCAACCTGGCCCTGAAAGCAGCCGTTTTGAAGGAAGTAAACTAACCAAAATATTGAACAAACAACTGAAAAGATCATACCAAAACCAAAATGGCGGCCGTCCTTTTCAAATTTTCCTGCATTTTGTCAGCAAAATATTTAAACGCTCACCAAACGCCTACGGGCACCGAGCCGACCGTGCGAGGGCTTAACAGCCAGTCAAGGTCTTTAAAAACCACCCCGATAGATATATACCATTTTTCACTGTTGTAAGCTAGCTGAGACTACTATAAATTATTATAGTAGTCTCAGTTGTAAGTAAATATTGGTCTGACTAGTGAGTTAACTAAATGGTTTGAAAAAGTCACAGATGTTTGATAAATTGAATTACAGTATTTTTTTATAGAATACATAGTTTGCATAGATTTTTTTTACTAATTCTTGTGCAAAATGAATAAGATTTCAATTCTGACTAATGATATTATCAAGAAATTTAAACTTTTGCATTTGCTCTAATTTCTTACGATTATAATCAAAAGAATGGATAAGATGTTTCCCATTATTACTTGTACTTAAAATCATAGTTATAGTTGTTTTTACAATTTACTGTTAACTCTAACAAAGTATAAACATAGAATTTGGGCTATTTATATGATAAAAAATGTTATATTTAACATAAAAGTATCCTTTATACATTGGTGCATTTGCAAATGAAGTCCCGTGCTTAAATTGATTTGATGTAAATTTTAATTTCTTCTTCATCATGGTCATTCTTTTTTTTTAATCAAATCTTCATAAATTCAGTAAACAACTTATTCATCCGTTGATTTAGTTCCATATTAATTATATTTGTTTCTTATAATCTCATTTCATTTTATCTAGTCATGACAAGGACGTATTTATGTTAGTTATACGTCCTTGCCTCATGATAATTAAATTGAATTAAATTAACGATCGGAGTTGTTTATTTTCGACATTTTTATAACAAAAACGGGCTTCATTACTCTCCCTTTATTCTTTGCCTTATAGACGGTCCAACTTCTCTTCAGATACAGTGTTTTTCGTCGAAGACACCCATTAAATCATTTATATAGTCAAAACTCTCCCTTTATACTTTGTCTGATTTGGCATTTTAGACGGTCCGAGTTGACTTATAAGACAGTCCGAGTTAATTTATTGACGGTTCGAGTTGTCTTCATAGACGGTCCGAGTTTTCTTCGGGCCGAGTTGTCTCACACCCAAAAGGACGACATGGTCAAGTCGACACATAGACCAAAACAGTACAAATCATTCAGTACTTTTTTATACTTTTATTTAGATAGAGTTATGAATCGACCCGAAGACAACTAATAAGTCAACTCGGACCGTCTATAATGTCAACACAGACAAAGTATTAATAGAAAGTTTGGATTATTTACTGATTATAAGTGATTCAATGTTATATTTCATATAAAAGTATTCTTTAAATGTTGCTCATAATAATTTGTTCAATGTGAATCCAAATTTCTACCTATCTTTTATTTTAATTTATTGTAAAACTTAATGTATGCCCCGGAAAAAAAGTTGATGCTAAATATGTCTTATTTTTGTTGTTGTTGAATTCGTTCTTTATCATATTTTTAAAATATTCCAAACTCATTGCATATTTATTTTATATTTTACCTAAAGTCCGTCAATAAAACAACTCGGACAGTCTATATATATATATAAAGTAAACTCGGATCGTCTACAATGCCAACTCAGACAAAGTATAACCATAGAAGTTGTGCTCTTTCAATGATTAAATGTCACAGTCATTATTCCTATGGGTACTTATTGTGTTATACTCATATGAAGCAGAATTCACACAAAGTCGACTCAAATCGACTATAATGGTTTACTTTTATAAATTTTGACTTGGATGGAGAGTTGTCTCATTGGCACTCATACCACATCTTCTTATATCTATATCAAAGACAAAAAGAAAAAAAACATCTTTCAAAGTTTTAATTTCACCCTCAGATATAATATTAATGATGTTCTACTTCATAATCCACATTTCAATGAGCGCTAACATTCATATACTATTATCTTACTGAACTTGAGATTAAGGATACTATCGAAAGTATAAGGTCTGCTTCATATCTTGATATTTTTCTAGATATTGATACAGATGGACCGACTATGACAAAGGTTATTATTTCAACTATCCAAATGTCAACTTGCCATTTCTCAGCAGTAAAATATCCCAAGCTCTATCGCATGGTGTTTACATATATCTGTTAATACATTACGCTCGTGCATGGTCACACCATACGACTTCCTTAACAGGGGTGTGCTCCTTACACAAAAACCGCCCCAACAGAGTTATGAAGAACATCTACAGGAGATCGACATTACATAAGTTTTACGGTCACCATCACAACACGAATTTGGTTGAACGGTATGATGTGTCGGTGTCTCAACTCACTAGCGAAACGTTTTCGCGGTTTAAGATCTATACAATGTAAATACCAATATAGTCGACTGATCTGTATTTTACCGTTTGTGGCATTTGTACTGAGTGTGAAATCGTATGGCAGCCGATGCATGCATATCAAAAGACGCTTAACCTGTCGAATCACCCAGTGTCACTCAGTTGGGGACCATGCGATGCCCTCAGTTTTTGTTTGTCACTTTGATTTGTCTCTTCGTAATCGATTTACAAAATTTGAACATAAGTCAAACTACTGCCATCTTAATTTACTACAAATGGGATACCACATCCTTATTGTTACAGTGGCATCTTGGTAAACATGATTTATCTATTAGTTATTATAGGCTTAGCAATAACTTCTAGTACTCTTAGATCGGTACTTTTTGTCTTTTTTAGTAGTTTGATGTGCTTCGTGTCAATCTGTTGAGTCAATCCTTTCCCAACAGATTTTTTACATTTTGCTCTTATGTTGTGCTGTTTCCCCACTGTCCCAGGTTACGGGAGGTCTGAACATTCACAAACATGTTTTACCCAGCCACATTCTTTAGGCGCCCGTCTCAAGTCAGGAGAATGTAATCCAGTGGTTGTTGCTGGTGCATTATGCCAAACAATTGTTTATCTTTTTATAGTTTTGTTATAAATAAGGCCGTTGGGTTTCCATTGCATTCTTAAAAAAATGTACAAGTTATGTTATAGTATTATATTTTCTTTATTGATTTTATTGTTGTTTTTAACTCTGAATTGGCGAAAAGATTTTGTTTTGATTGATTGCAGTGCATTCTTCTCCCCAATAAAATAAACAGCTGCGCCACGAGCGCATGATACGCCCGTCGTCTTGTGTGTGAGGTTTTAAGCAATAATCATAAATCGTTTCTGAGATACGGTGCGACATGTGAAACCCCCCCTTTTTTTATAAAAAAAATCAATAACTCTTAAATAAAATTTTGAATCATCACCAAAAAGTATACAGATCTTTAGATTAATATAATTAAGAAGTGTGTAAAGTTTTAAGCAATAATCATAAATCGTTTTTGAGATACGGCGCAACATGTGAAAAACCCTTTTTTTTACAAAAAAAACTCAATAACTCTAAAATAAAATTTTGAATCATCACCAAAAAGTATACAGATCTTTAGATAAATATAATTAAGAAGTGTGTAAAGTTTTAAGCAATAATCATAAATCGTTTTTGAGATACGGCGCGACATGTGAAAACACCCCCTGTTTTTTACAGAAAACTCAATAACTCTAAAATAAAATTTTGAATCATCACCAAAAAGTATACAGATCTTTAGATTAATATAACTAAGAAGTGTGTAAAGTTTTAAGCAATAATCATAAATCGTTTTTGACGGATACGGCGCTACATGTGAAAAAACACCCCCTGTTTTAGTTACAAAGTCCCGTAACTCAAAAAGTTGTAATCTTATTTTCACCAAAATGTATACAGATCGTTTGACCATCATAAGAAACAACTATGATAAGTTTCATGAAATTTGGATAAGTCTTTCTCAAGTTACTGTGCGACATGCGGACGCCGGACAGACAGACCGACGGACAGACAGACAGACTAGACAGACAGACAGACAGACAGACAGACAGACAGACAGACAGACAGACAGACAGACAGACAGACAGACAGACAGACAGACAGACAGACGGACGGACGGACGGACGGACGGACGGAAGGACGCCGGACATTTGTATACCATAATACGTCCTGTCAAAATTTTGACGGGCGTATAAAAACCAAAACAAAATACATATTTGTCATTAATGTGTTTTTGTTTCTTTTGCAGTTGGAAATGTCTTTACATTTACCTTTATTGATTTCCCTTTCATGATCATTGAGTGCATGTAACGGGTTCCTCCCAAACTTAGTTGTGTATAAAGCAAAACAAAATCTCTGCTCTATAATAATTTATTTCTTCATCTAGAGCTTCATCTACCAATTACCAATTTCCTTGATGAGTACAAAGCAGTACACTACACATCTTTGCATCAAAAAGCCACAATTACAATTATGCATGCTATACAGTTACACGATAATATATGATTCGTTGCAAAACAATATAGTCATTGAACAAATCAGACAACTTAAAGTAAAATAAGGTTCCAAAAACGATCAAATTCAGTCTAACGAATTTTAATTTGTCCAAAAGTGTTTTATACCTTAAATTCAACTTTTGACATCCTCTTTGTTAAATTTAGAATTTAAAAAGAATACAAGTAGAACAGGGAATTTAGTAGTTGCGATCTTAAATTGACCGTATTGGAACCTCACAACATTTCAGTTGTTATTTCTCTTTCTTTACGGGTTCATCTAAGTATCCACCAAGCACGCCGTCTCTGATCTTCTCACTTGACAGTAAGTAACCAATAGGATAAAGAGCGGTGCTTCCTTTGGCGAACAATGGCGGAAGTGATGCAGCCAACATAGATACTTCCGTGGCATCAGTTATAAGTGACCAGCACATGAACATTCCATATGGACCCCATCCAATTATTACGAAGACAAGAAATCCGATGCAAATCTGAAACAAGACAACAAAACAATGCAGTCTATTTTGATGTGTGATATTTATTTTGTTTAGCACATTCTGTTATTTATGGAGAACAGTATTGATGCTTTAATATATTTTCCAACGGCAACAATATTTAAGTCAAATTAAGGGTAATATTCCTCGTTTACAGTGATTTATATTTGAATAAACCATACAATATTAAATGGGTCAATTTTGGGATATTACCAGATTTCTACTGACGCATTTGTTATGTCTCTGGTATATCGCCTTGGACGTGATGGTGGATACTAGTACAGCTAACACAAACGTTTTCCTCGAAAACGATCAAAAAGATAGATAAAAATCGTAGTGGCTTGAAGGAAACAAAAACGGATATATTAGCGACTTCATATAAAAACAGTTTCCGGGATAAGCCTACATCATTTTTGTTATATCTATAATAAACATATTAAGTTAGTTGATTACCTGTAGACGAGAATAGTAATATTTTTACCAATACCGATTCTCTATAAATGTGTCGGATGTGTCTGATCGAATAGATATACAATATTCGTACAGTGTAGGATAATACAAAATTAATATGACGAGCTCTAGAAACAGAGAGAAAGCAAGACTCGCCGAGCTTTCTCCTGTTTCGTAGCAAGTACAAATACATTTTATATATTACTACACTACGATTTTTTTTTATCCTACAATTTAACATTGAGCTTAAACGTATATATAGTTTTCCCCACTCAAATCCTTGTTGAATGAAACCGACATGACTTAAACACGGACTGCAATGAGTACTATAAATTGAACTGTTACGTAAAACATTTATTTGAACATTTAAAAAAAAAATTCAAAAATAATTTTTATTGTGACCTGTCAGTGGGTTCGGGTTAAAAAAAGCAACTTGTTTTTATTTATAAGTATAAAAATAAGATGTGACATGATTGCCAATGAGACAACTCTCCACCAGAGACCAAATGACATAGAAGTTATAAACTATAGGTCACCGTACGGCCTTCAACCATGAGAAAAAGCGCTGACAAACCGTGGCATACGATTTTTAATGTTGATTGTAAATACAAGAGTTGTCAGTGAACGTTACGAACGAATATTTGCCTAATAATAACCAGTCATGCAATGAACAACCACACTTAAGCTGTTTTGTAATTGATAATATAATATATAATGTATTGGGCTTGATTTAACTTGTAACTAAAAGCACCCAAAAAGCTGCATTTTTGAAACTAAACAACTTTTGGTAAGGAAAAACATATTTAATCGTGAAAGTAGAGTAAATACAAATATTGATATAGCATTACTTTTAGCAGGTCCTTAAGATACTCTATCATGCTCGACCGTACTTTGACCTATAATGGTTTAAATATATAAATAAATTTTGACTTGGATGGAGAATTGTCTTATTGGCACTCATTCCACATCTTCTTGTATCTAATCAATAAACTGGACCCAGTGCTACTCTGGGAATTTAGATTGGTATTTTAACCTCCTAAATCACAAACCGAAATATTAACAATGGGTCCAGTTTGTAACTTTGTGGTTTAACATTTCTCTCTAATGTCAAATATAGAAACTGATAAATTAAATACATACCCAACGTAACTGATGATTGCTCAGCCATTCATACTCCTGGCCACGGGTAACAACGATTGGCTTCTCTTGCTTGGTTCCGGAAATGCAGAATGCTGCGACAACGTACCAAAACAGACTTCCAAGACAAATACACATGCCATAGGTCAAGTGACTGGTATCTTTTTTTAGCCAGTTTAGTCCGCATGCTACACCAGAAGCTTCAGGAGCATAACTGTAAAACATGTTATTTGAAACGTTTGGTGGAAAAATCTACAGCCATTTTAAAAGTCTTTAAAAATAAGATTGTTTGCACATTAACGAATTTGAGTTGAATTTTTGATAATAAAAAAAGTAGTCACGAGGATTTGTGGTTGTTCTCAATTATTAAAAAAGTCTCATAACTGGTAGTAAATGGTTCTTATTACCTTCTAGCTCAATTTTAGGTACCGTATATAGCCTTCCCATTTACTTTTAAAAGTTGTCTCAGTCCGACACATGGCCAAAACAAGTCTCCTAAAAGGCCGTCAGATGTCATATGAATCTCTGACTAAAACTTCTTTGAGCATTCATGGCCCAGACAAATTGAGAAAATTGCATCGGTCTTATTAAAAACAAATATATTTAATTCTAATTCTCAATGAAAAATCGACATTTTCTTTCAAGACTTTAAATGCATGCTATCTATTTGGAAAAGCATGTAAAACAAAATTGAAGAAAAAAACCCGTGTATACCGATTTAAAAAGAGAGTAAGATAAAATTTCTAACTTTCCCTGGATCAGATTAGAAATCCAGAAAATGAATAAAAGAAGTGTGGTATACGAAAATGAGACCCGCAACACAACACACATATCAAAAGACTGTCAGAGGTCCACACACTGTCTTCAACAATTGACATGCATAATTACTATTGTACATAAACTTACGAACTCCATCCAAATAAAGGGAAGAGAGCCCAAAGTAGTGATGTAATCCATACAACGAGGGCCATCATCCACCATGTCATTGTAGAAGACGAATCGTCTGCAGAGAAAGATTGATAAATACATAATTTTTGTTACCCGACCCCAATAACAGACCAAGTTAAGAGATTTACTTGTACGACACTCTAACAACTTATTAGTTTTGAATTGCATTAATATGACTTTTTTGTATTATCTCCTCGACTGTTATCTCACATGTCCTTTCATACATATATGATAAGCTTTGGATGGTTTTTATAGTTTGTTCTTATGTTGTGCTGTTACAACACTGTCCCAGGTTAGGGAAAGTGTTTGCGCGCCCGAAAACATGTTTCATCCCGCCACATTCTGTATTTGCCTGTGCCAAGTCAGGAGCCTGTAATTCAGTGGTCAGTGTCGTTTGTTGCTGTATATCATATTTGTTTTTCGTTTATTGTTTTGTACATAAATCAGGCCGTTAGTTTTTTAGTTTGAATTGTTTTACCTTTATCCTTTCTGAACTTTTTATAGCTTGCCATGCGGTAAGGGTTTTGCTCATTGTTGAAGGCCGTACGGTGGCCTTTAATTGTTAACCTTCTACGTCATTTGGTTTCTAGTGGCGAGTTATCTCATTTGCAATCATTCCACATCTTCTTATTTTTATATTTTCTTACAAATAATAATATATTTTTAATCATATATACTCACAAAATTCTGTGTAACGCACAGAACAGTATCGCTCAATACAAAGGGCGATAACAAACCCTAACGCAGCATATCCAGCCGTGTAGGACTCTACTCCATAAGCCTGGCATCCAAACGTTTCAAACAGCCATCTTAAAAATATAACATAGAGATTTTCAGAGATACACGAATGTTTGAATGTTTCAAACAGCCAACTAAAAAACATAAGCGACACACAAATGTTTAAATGTTTCAAACAGCCATCTAAAAAATATAACATTAAGATTGTGAGCGACACACGAAGGTTTGAATGTTTCAAACAGCCATCTTAAAAATGTAACATTGAGACTGTGAGACACACACACATTGTATATATGTATACATAGAAGGTTTTCTCCAATAATAAGGTTTAATAAAATAAGATCTTAGACCTTGATAAGTGGGACATTTTAAAATGAAATGTATCTCATCTTCAATGTCATTCTTACAAATATAAATGGGGAATGTGTCCATATAACATTATAAAGGAATATTACTGTAAAAGTGACGCTACCCAAATTTGTACTTGATCTGAGTTTTGTGGTAATAAGTATTGTTTATAAGTTTCATATCAATTAGTTGGGGCAAACTTAAGTTAGAGAACAGAAACGAAAAATTCAGCAATTTTTCCATTGGTAAAGGTGCATAACTCTAGAACGGTAAAAGTGACACCATCAAAATTCAAACTTGATTTGTGTTTTGTGGTAATTAGCATTGTGCATAAGTTTCATTACATTTGGTTGAGGCAAACAAAAGTTAGAGAACGGAAACGAAAAACTCAGCAATTTTTCCAATTGTAAAGGGGCATAACTCTAGAACGGTAAAAGTAACGCCACTAAAATTCAAACTTGATCTGTGTTTTGTGGTGATTAGCATTGTGTATAAGTTTCATATTACTTGGTTGAAACAAAATAAAGTTAGGGAACGGAAACAAAAAAGCAATTTTTCCATTTGTAAAGGAACAAAACTCTAAAACGGCAAAAGTGATACCACCAAAATGCAAACTTGATCTGTGTTTTGTAGTAATAAGCATTGTGTATAAGTTTTATAACATTTGATTGAGGCAAACTAAAAGTAGAGAACGGAAACGACAAATTCAGCATTTTTTCCATAATGCGGCGGTGTTAAACATGTTTTGTGAGATCTCAACCCTCCCCCTATACCTCTAGCCAATGTGGAAGAAACAAATACACAGCAATAGGCACAGTAAATCTCAGTTTAAACGAAGTCCGATTCCGATGTAAGAATAGGTAACAGAAGAAACTATAAGCAAACTGACAATGATCAATATAAATTAACAAAGTACTACTAGCAGTTACTGACATGCCAGCTACAGAACTCAGTTGAACTGATTGAAATAGTATGTCTTCATCATATGAAAATCAAGCACAATCGTTAGGGGTTTAATATCGTACCATCATAAAATATACGAGAAAAACATAACCCGTATCATGCCAAAAGCACCCTCGATTCCCCATTGCCAGGGTAACGGCAGCCATTTTGAAAATTCCAAAGTCAAAGAGGGCATCTACACATGCCAATTAACACTATTCTAAAGTTTCATGGAAATTGGAGCATTTTGAAATTTTTGACATTTTTGCTGTTTCCATGGTAACGACAGACATTTTGGAAATTCCAAAGTCAAATGAGATATCTGCATATGCCAGTCAATATTTGTTTGACGTTTCATTAACTTTAGAGCATATTGATTTTTTGGACATTTTTGATGTTTCCATGGAAACGGCGGTCATCTTGGAAATGCCATACCCCGATTGCAAATCTGCACATGCTGGTTAACATTATGGTTAAGTTCCATTAATATTGGTTCATACAATTTCGAGATATAAGCTGGACAAAAAAAGTGGAAGAAAAATAAGAAAAAAAAGAAACGTAGAATAACAATATGTCACCCCAACTCCGTTGAGGGTGTCATAATTACTCAGTTGGCTGTCAAAACCTTGCTCAATATATAGAGAAGTATATGGGTTTGTGCAACGATACTGATATAAGATATATACCAATAAGTTGAATTAATATTGTATGCCAAAACGCTTGTCTTTCAATTCGATATATTTCATCATTTAAGTATATCTTTTATTAGTATCGGGGCACAAATCTTCAGACTTGTATATTTTTTCCTCTTTGTGTGGTGTTTTCTCAAAGACTCATCTTGTATATGAATGTATATGGCTATCTGTTGTATATATTCCTTATGCAATTAAGTATTAAACCCCCGTAGTATGTTTCTTTTAGTTTAAACATTTAAAGTGGTTAAAGAGTAATACAAAAGCGACTAGAACTTGTTCTTACTCTCATACCACGTGCTTATTGGGAAAGCAGCTTTGTCACATATGAAGCTAGATATGAGTTTTACTTTTCCGACTTTAAAATCTAATTAACTTTTCATCGGAATAAATTCCTCTTAAAATAATTGATATCTGATATGCAATTCTATCAGCTTCCAAGCAGCTTATTGTTCATGTTTTATGTTTTCCGATTATGTAAATTATGTGCATGGTGTTGTATAGCATTCATGTTTTAAGCAGATTATGAAGATCCGCTGCCTTTGTCATGCTTTAAATATTTATTTTGTATTTACATTGTATCATAGGTCAAATTTATTTGTTCAGTGTATGTTCAATGGTGTTAATATGTCCTTTGATTGAGTTAAGCTATTTCAGTTGATATTTTATAGTGTGTCTTTCTATGTTGTGATGTTACACTATTGTTTCAGAAAAAGGGTGAAGGTTTGGTACCATTAAAACGTTTAAACCCGCTGCATTTGTTTGCACCTGTCCTAAGTCAGGAATCTGATGTTCGGTAGTTGTCGTTTGTTGATGTGGTTCATAAGTGTTTCTCGTTTCTCGTTTTTTATATAGATTAGACCGTTGGTTTTCCCGTTTGAATGGTTTTACACTAGTAATTTTTTGGGGCCCTTTATAGCTTACTGTTCGGTGTGAGCCAAGGCTCCGTGTTGAAGACCGTACTGTGACCTATAATGGTTTACTTTTATAAATTTTGACTTGGATGGAGAGTTGTCTCATTGTCACTCATACCACATCTTCTTATATCTATTTGAATCTTCTTACGTTGTAAAAAGCCATATGAAGATACTATTCAGATGACTGGTATTTTAATTTGGCATGAATTGAATGACATTTTTACTTCTAATTTTCTGAATTGATTGATTATTATTAAAAAGTGCAAACACCAAGGTTGCTCAAGCAACAGTTGACCTCAGACTGTTTTGGCTGTTCTATTTCGACTCTCTTTATTTTGATGCTTCTATTAACATTTTTCGCATTTTTGGTATGTAGTGCACCTTTTGAAAATTAATAAAGAAACATGTGTCGTGCGTACCGGTTAAAGATTACTCAAGAAACACGTGTAGTGCTCTCCTGTTGAGGATTATTAAAAAAAAAACACGTGTCGTGCACATCTGTTTAGGATTATTCAAGAAACACACATCGCGCACATGCTGATGATTATTAGAAAAACACGTGTCGTGCACACTTACGGAAGATTATGCAAGAAACACATATCGCGCACATGCTGATGATTGTTAAAAAAAACACTTGTGCACACTTATTGAAGATTATTCAAGAAACATGTGTCGTGCACACCGATTAAAGATTATTCAAGAAACACATATCGCGCACATGCTGAAGATAATTCAAGAAACACTTATCTTTCACACTTATCGTGCACACTTATCGAAGATTATGCAAGATTTAAACACATATCGCGCACATGCTGATGATTATTAAAAAAAAACACGTGTCGTGCACACTTATTGAAGATTATTCAAGAAACATATGTCGTGCACACCAATTAAAGATTATTCAAGAAACACATATCGCCACATGCTGAAGATTATCCAAGAAACACTTATCGTGCACACCTGTTGAAGATTATGCAAGAAACACATATCGCGCACATGCTGAAGATTATTCAAGAAAAACTTATCGTGCACACCTGTTGAAGATTATGCAAGAAACACATATCGCGCACATGCTGAAGTTTATTCGAGAAATACGTGTCTTGCACCACTGTTGAAGGTTATTCAAGAAACACGTATCGTGCACACCTGTTGAAGATTTTCAAGAAACAAGTGTTGTGCACACCTGTTGAAGATTATTAAAGAAATAAGTGTTTCGCACACCTGTTAAAGATGAATCAAGAAACAAGTGTTGTGCACACCTGTTGAAGATTATTCAAAAGATGCTTCAAGAAACAAGTGTTGTGCACACCTGTTGAAGATTATTCAAGAAATAAGTGTTTCGCACACCTGTTAAAGATGATTCAAGAAACGAGTGTTGTGTACACCTGTTGAAGATTATCCAAGAAACGTCGTGCCTGCATTAATCGTAGTTGTTTGTCCTTGTTTGTACGTATTGTTTCTCTCTCGCAGGGATTAGATGTTGTGGTCTGTTTTACTATCATAAAATTTTTTTGTTTTTTTTGTTATCATTTTTCATGTAATATAAAAATCAATAATAAAAAAATTAGGTGTTATTTTGTTTGTTATCTTGAAAGGTGACAGTTTTTGGTTCAAATAAAACGCAAAACTTTGTTCGCTGGGTAACACATTCTGAAAATGTCTGTTTCATTTCATTTTTATTGATCAATAACATATCTTAATAATTCAACTAATTGAAATGGATGGCATTTTATTGAGACAAAAGAAAACTTATATGGATATTAATGAATCCAGTCAATAGTATTGTCTACCCATAACCGTGACAAGCTTAGAAATTAATATCAATATCAATTTCGAGGCGAAATGAATAAAGAATGGTGGTTTATACGTCAACGAGTCAGCAGCAGAAAATCAAAGACATCTGATCTGGTCAATATAGTTTACTGCCTTCAGCAACAGACAATTGTCTATACAATATGTTAAGGTCTAAATCGTCAGAGTCCAGAATATCAAGATATACAGAGATAAACAAGCATGTCAAAAGCAGATACATTTATCATTTTAAACCATGACATTTTTTTATAGATGCCGAGTGTAAACAAACTGGTAAAACAGGTGTACAGTCGTCCTTTAGTTACTCGTCCCATTTTTATGTCATAACTATGCATATTCTTTCAGTGGATAGTCAACAAAGCCGGGTTTGATATTGATATTATAGTTCACTGACCTAGCAAAGAGTCAACATTATTTTTATGTATATGTGCTGTAAATGATATATTGATTTTCTTACTTTCCTTTGAACGATGACAATCCAGCAAACGGGAATCCAAGGCACACCAAGACATTACTGAAACACAAGTTGATGTGCAGTACCTTCTTTGGTGCAGACACTACGTTTTCTCGAATGAACACATTCATTACCAAACAATTGGACAAGACTCCAATTGAACCTGAAAATAAAAAAATAAAAAAAAAGAAATAAAAGAAACAGTCAACCACAAAGTTTAGACGTGGTTGAGCACGGTGCCAAGAATTTTTGTTTGTAAAAGAGTTACAATTGTACTTCAAAAGAAAGGCGAAATATACCAAAGGGATATTCAAACTCATAAATCGAAAGAATCTTAGCAAAACACGAAAAGACAATAACAGTACACAAACACAAACACAACATGGAAAACTAAAAACTGAGCTACACGAACCTCACCGACCGACGGTAGTCTCGGGTGCTCCGGAAGGGTGAGCAGATCCTTCTTCGCTAGTGGCATCCATAAGGAAGCTATTGAACCAAGAGTTCCAAGTGGTGAAGTTGAAATCATCCTTTCGAAAATTTTACGGACGCCATCACGAGTTGGATGACAGTTATGAAATATCTGCTTCACATATGGCGACGAGTATGTACCATTTGTCGTAACCACTATTTCATCCTCTTTTCCTCGAATGCGACCTATCGAATAAGACTCATCTACGAGCTTGTACTTGTATGAGTAACACGATGGATGCCACATGTGGAGCAAGATTCGCTTACCCTTCCGGAGCACCCGACCACCCCGATTTTTGGTGGGGTTCATATTGCACAGTCTTTAGCTTTCTATTTTGTGTTTTGTGTATTGTTGTTTGTCTTTTCGTTGCTTTTTGTTTTTTACCATGGCATTGTCAGTTTGTTCTCGACTTATTTTTTCCCTTTGTTATATTTCGCCTTTCTTTTGAAGCTTTAAGGTACACCAACATTTTCAATTACTTTTGACTCGCGATAAAAAATTTGACACACATTTTGACACAAGCACGCAGTAATTGCTAACATTGGATAACCTTAAAAAGAAGAAAATCGATCTTTTGGGATACAAAATACAAAGAAAAACAAAAACAGAGCAGGGAAACCCAACAGCTTTCAAGATATGAAGCTTAATTAATTCTCTCTGTTCTAAAACTTCCTTAAAAATTCAGCGGGATTTCCTGTTATTCAAGCAAATATGACACGTGTTTTAATCATCATTTATAGTTTCTAATTAAGGTTTCCTACTTTGAGCAAGAAGTAAATAGGATTACATTTCCAGAACGTGATTAACCTTGCTGCCTGTTTAAAGAGAAGCGAAGCAATCGGATTCCATCGAACTATTCGACATAGATGACATTATGCATTGCACTAGGAGATGAGTTGACAGTGAAGCTTACTGCATTTTCCAGTAAATGTTAACGGATCGTTAGATATTTCATCTGATTATGAAGATTAAATAGGCGGAGAACATTACAACGATAGTCTTACTGTATGACTAGCTTTATGCCAATTAAGTACTTAGTATAGGTGCATGGCTAAAATTGGGAATATTCTACAAAAAAAAATATCACTCTTACATTTGAAGTGTTGTCAACATCTATTGAAAAGACATCTTCTAGTTAATTAAGGGTTTAAAACTGACCTTGATAAACAGCCAGTAGAAAAATCTTATGAAAATATCCGCAATCTTATATCTAGATAGATTGAATACTTTTACATAAAACCATTATCATAAAAGAAAGTCATACATTATATATATGCAAGGAATATATGAATGTTCAACTTTTATCAAAGATTCCTCACAAATAATATTGCAAAAAGTAAAACCCTGATGGGTTAAAATGCAAACAATGTACATGTACATAAGAGACATACAACCGACGAATAAAGTTTTAAACGAGTCAAGTTTAGTAATTATATATGAATATAGAAAATTGACCAATATGGACCTCATTTACGAAACTCCATGGATTGCTGTATATAGCCCACAACACTACAAAAAAATAGTTTGCTGTCAAACTATGAAAGAAGTAAAAATACTTGGAATACAAATATATAAAGCAACTTTGTAAAAGCATTAAAGTAAAACAAGATCAATAATTATATTTAAGATATCCAAATTCTGAAACTAGACACTTATTTACAAAAATAAGAATTAGGGATCATAATATAAAAGGGCAGATAACTCAATTTATCTCGAAACTTAAGAACGTGTCTTCCTATATAACTAGTTTTATATACTAATTGACTAGTGGTCCTGCTAAATTCATCAAATCAGAACTAGCTGAATAACATGTTCGTTTATAAAAATGTCCTTAAAACTAAGGATCGGCATTTACAATTTATCGATGGGTATAACAGATGTGTTTAGCTGTTCCAGACTTTGAAAGCTCGATCTCAATTGTATTTGTGATCAACCGTGGTTTCTCCTCGTGTTTGCTGTTATATATATTGCTGATTTGATACTCAGGTTAGTTAATGATTTTATAATAATCGAACAGAAAGTACATTTTGAAGGCACAGCTTAAAGAAAAACCAATTTTTTTACACGAATGAACAACTGACTGACGCATATATGTTATGTAACATTTCAAAATGAAAGTAATCATTAATGTAAAGTAATTAGCTGCAAACGTAGAATCATGAAATAGAAAATAATTAATCGGTTTAAAGAAATTTAATTTTATAAATTACCAGGATCTTTACACATGACAATAATTATCGTCATCATGGGCTCAACAATTACAGAAAAAAAAATTGTGCGTCATCATCAACAACATCCCAGGCGGCTCCTACAGATCCGTGTCATTATTTGGCAGGTAGTGGAACATTTTAATACTCTTATACCAACAAAGTTTTACAAAATATTGTTATAATCACAAATGAAGCAGTTTTAACAGAAACAATGTACATGGAATATACAAAATATCAAAACGGAGATAAAGTAGATGAAGGGGAACATTTGGTTCACAGTACACAAGGATATTGAACAAGACAAACCTTTAACAGTTTTCTATTATTTAATTCAAATCTTTTCATTATATGTCTGAATATTGAATCTAGAGTTGTACTGGTTTGTTTGAGACTTTTTCTGCGTTTCTGAACTCATTTTTTTTTTACCTCGCACATATAATAACATATACCGGTATAGTATTTAGCATATTCCTCTATATGTCAATAAATGCACAGTATAATAACTTTTCAGTAAAAAGGAGGCAGAAGATATACGAAAGGGACAATCAAAACTCATCAATTATAGAGAGACCTACACAACTATCAAGAGATTCAGTTTACCAGATATTGAGTTTGTTCATGTTTTTTTTCTCTTCTGTTTTTGCGTTTTGTTTGTTATTAATTTAGTACATCTTCAATAGCAATATGCATATAGAAAAGTAATAACAAAATTTGAGCTCCAGAATCCTCGAACACCTGTAGAGGAAGGAAAGTAAGATTACATTGGCCCCTAGGCGAAGGAAGTTCCTTCTCAATGCTGGTGTTTTTTTTTTCTCGCAAATTCCGCTCCTTAACATGATATATCTGTATTTTACCTCGAACATCAATGGGAATGGTTAAGTTAAACATTTGATTCAATTCCATTATTTCTTTGCTATCAAAACGCGGCATTTAACGAAACGCACAAATGATAAAGCGTCTCCGTGAAGTGTCAAAAAAAGGCATAACCATTTTGGCAAATACCACGACAGAGAGGGAAAAAAGGCATATCCTTGTGCATACTACTAGATCGGTGATATATGAACGATGCTCATTAGATAAAAGAAAACAAGAAAAAATACACCGACTATTAACCAATCACTTGTATCATCAGCTCAATGGTCAGTACTTTGGTACTGACTTTAGAAATTAATAAGAAACTACGGTTTAAACTCCGTCAAGCAAAGTTGACCGTCGATAGATTTGGCTATAAGTTTTATGTCTTTTTTGTTCACATTGCTTTTCAGCTGTTTCGGTTCTTATATATCATTGGCTGTCAAATAATCGGCTTTTAGCCTTCCTGATGAAGGTAAAAATAACATGTTCCTTTATAAAACCATCCTTATTACATTATTCTGACTCCGAGCCTACCAGGCTTTGACATACCTCAAATCTTAACCAACTGAATGACATAAAATTGAAAATGGAAATGGGGAATGTGTCAAAGGGACAACAACCCGACCATAGAGCAGACAACAGCCGAAAGCCACCAATGGGTCTTCAATGCAGCGTGAAACTCCCGCACCCGGAGGCGTCCTTCAGCTGGCCCCTAAACAAATATTTATACTAGTTCAGTGATAATGGACGTCATACTAAACTCCAAATTATACACAAGAAACTAAAATTAAAAATGATACAAGACTAACAAAGGCCAGAGGCTCCTGACTTGGGACAGGCGCAAAAATGCGGCGGGGTTAAACATGTTTTTTGAGATCTCAACCCCCTATACATCTAGCCAATGTAGAAAAAACAAACGTACAACAGTACGCACAGTAAAACTCAGTTTAAGAGAAGTCCGAGTCCGATGTCAGAATAGGAAACAAAAGAAAATAAACAAAATGACTATAATACATAAATAACAAAAGACTACTAGAAGTTACTGACATGCCAGCTCCAGACCTCAATTAAACTGATTGAAAGATTATGTCTTCATCATATGAATATCAGGCACAATCCCTCCTGTTAGGGGTTTAGTATTATACCATCATAAAATATATGAGAAGAACATAACCCGTGTCATGCCAACAACTGGTTTTAGAATAAATATGTTTAATTCCGATGCAAAGACCCTATAAGTGAATCAATATTAAAGCCAAAATATGCAATCTTTAATGACCTGACAACAGTATCGTAACTATATCCCTTCTTAATAAGTCTGTTTAAAGGTTTTGTTAGCTTTTGAGGTGAATACTGACATTTTTGTGCTTTGTAAAGAATATTACCATAAAAGAATGGATGTGAAATACCCGAACGTATAAGATGTCTGCATGTTGAGTTATATTTACGAATGATGTCCTTATACCGATGATAAAATTTAGTAAATGTTTAACTAGTTTATGATATCGAAAACCCTGGTGTAATAATTTTTCAGTAATACATACATGTAAATTTCTCTCATTAAAATCTAATACGTTGTTACATACACGAGCGAATCGTACAAGTTGAGATATATAAACACCATAAGATGGTGACAAGGGAACATCATCTTCTAAAAACGGATAATTAACGATAGGAAATGAAAAATCATCTCTTTTATCATAAATTTTTGTATATAGCTTCCCGTTAATGATACAGATATCAAGATCGAGGAAAGGACAGTGGTCATTGTTAGTATTAGCTTTATTTAAATAAGTTCTACATGATAAATTTCTTTAGTATACATACTGAAGTCGTCATTATTGAGAGTCAATATATGTTCCTTTATAAAACCGTCCTTATGACATTATTCTGACTCCCAGCCAACCGGGCTTTGACATGCCTCAATCTTAACCAACTGAATAACATGTTCCTTTATAAAACCATCCTTATTACATTATTCTGACTCCGAGCCTACCAGTCTTTCACATACCTCAAATCTTAACCAACTGAATAACATGTTCCTTTATAAAACCATGCATTCTTATGACATTATTCTGACTCCCAGCCTACCGGGCTTTGACATGCCTCAAATCTTAACCAACTGAATAACATGTTCCTTTATAAAACCATCCTTATTACATTATTCTGACTCCCAGCCTACCAGGCTTTGACCTACCTCAAATCTTAACCAACTGAATAACATGTTCCTTTATAAAACCATCCTTACTACATTATTCTGATTCCCAGCCTACCAGGCTTTGACATTCCTCCTAAATGTCACGTGTTTGATAGTGAAGCACAGATACCAATCTTCGCCTTTTGTCTGATCCGGTTGAGGATCGAACAAACGACCACCCGCACTCGGTGTGGTTGAAGGACCTTAGTGGACGGAGTTTCAATACTTTATTCATTGCAATATTCGTCGTACTTAAGAACCGTCAATGTCCTTTTATCTTTACAAGCAAATAAGATATAACACTAAGACTTTTGTCAGAATTTGAAATTCACGTTTTTTGGTTTTTTTTTTTTTTTTTGTAGTTAGGCTTCAATTAAATTATACAACATTTGTAGATTAAGCCAAGTTAAAAAAAAAATTTAAGATTAAATGTTTAAAATTTCGAATTGCAGTCGAAATAACTTTGTCTACTAGTAATATGCTTATGTAACAAGTTTCAGCTATGCAGTATAAGCATATCTTTTCATCTTTTATCAATCATACGTCAAAGATAAATGGAAATCTTGTATGGTAAACAAAATGTTGATTCTCTGGAAAAAGCAAACAATTCCACTTGAACATAATTATGAAATTCTGATACTCAAGGTAACAGTCGTCACCATTATTCATTTTATTGACCAATTAAAATAAGATATAGATGTACAACATAAACTGTAAGAAAAAAATATTAAAATTAATTAATGAAAAATAACTTACCAAGAACAAAATAAAGACATCCTATGCCTCGATGTTCCAAATCTGAAAAATGTCCACCAGATCTGACAATTGCTTCCATCTTTGCTGTTCAATCTGTAGTGTCAGTTGTATTTGGCTTTGTCGCGAAATCTGCTTAAGAGTCACCTGTCACGCAATTGGTTAACATCAATAGGGCTGTTACATACGGTATTTTGTAAGAAAGGACAGAACTGTGATCTGTCAACGAATAACTGTTATTCTATTTAACACCTTGCATCAAGTATCACAAATCGTTAACTATTGATTGCATGCTCGTCTGGACTATAATTAGTATTCGACTATACAGACACTTTCTTATAATTCCTTAGGATTAATGGATTCTGTAATTTTGTAATATTTCCTCTGATTTTCTACTTTAAAAATCGAAAAAGTCAAATATAAATTGACATAAAACAATTTAAACAGTCTTTGACAAATAATAAAAATAAAATATAGAACAATATACAGTTAGTATAACACAAAAAAAACCAAATATCAAATATTACTGGATTTTTGTAAATTAAGGAGTGAATAACATTGTTGTCTAAACGATTGATTGATTGTTGTTTGCTAAACGTCCAGTGGCAAATATTCATGAATATGCAAGACGCGAACAAATTATTGTAAATTCAATAGGTAGATTGTAAAATGAAGGTTGACTGGAAAGAAGAACAGTGCATTTTGATTGTCTTGTGGAAAAAAGGCCCGAATGTTGGATAGGGTCGAAAGTTTGCCTTGCAACAGGCAAATGAACAAGCATTGAGTTGTTGCAAGATTATTCAACGTGCAGAGAACTTCGTACTTTACCCACAAAATGCATCTGATTTTTAAATTCTCTTTTTGCTGACTACAAATAAAATCATTTATAACGATCTAAGTCTACCACACCAAGCACTCTTCCCAAGAGAACGTTTGATATAATAAACCATAATGATATCTTAACGGATATATATCTTTACAGTTTTATAAGCCTTTAGTGATTCTAGTAAATGAATAATGATTGTTTCTGTACGTTTTAATTATTTAAAGAACAACCGTTTTAGTCATCACACAATTATTGATTTGATCGATTTTCCTACATTTAAAACTCGAATTCTAAAAAAATACATACTGAAGAATAAAAATTATTTTAAAAATCAATAAAATAATAATAGAATCGGTTTGGTTTTTGAAACTTGAAAATGAAATGTTGACACATATGTCTTTAGTTGGTGGTTACTCATACTGTCTCATTGAGGAATATCCTATATCAACTTTTGTTCATGTAGAAGTCTGTGCCGACCAGTTGATCATTATTTATTCATTTGATAAAAATAAATTTACTCAACTTCTCCATATATAAACAGTGACTTTTATTAGAGTTCGGAGCAAAATATAATAATGTGAAAATAATGTATTCATGACTAAAAAAACCTTTTACAAGTGGGATAAAGATAACATGAATTGAATCCATCTAGCTACAAGAGTTAAATAAAAACCAGCATTTACGAAAATAGTATTTATAATGTTAGCAGATTTAGGGATTAAGCTTTTTAAAATCTGTCCGTTTTTTTAAATGTTATAAGCAGTTACACCAACCTGTTGTTTTCAATCATGCGTTTGTAATTTCTGTTACCTATTCTTCACGGGTGTCATTCAGTATATCGAGAAAAATGATCGTGAAAAAATAACTTAGTTACGGTGGTTAAGCAATGCGATCGGATCGTGAATTCAATTAAGTGTAATTCTACTTCAATATCTGTGACAAATCTGCTGTATTTTCAAAAGGTGGAACAAATCAGAAAAAAGAAATATGTCTGTCAAAATGATTCAACTTCCTGAATAATACCGTGCAATAAATTAAAGGGAAAATGCAGTACTTATTAAGAAAAAACAAAAGACGACACACAATCCTATGAGAATCATTAAGAATCAAAGTACTGAAGTACTGAACATCGGATGACCACAAGTTCTTGAGGATGGTCAAAAGCACTTGTCTCAGAAAAAAAACAACATATCTCTTTACCTGAAACTGAGGTTAATGTACAGAGATATATTTTTTTCTAGACAAGTGCGTGCGAGTATGATGAATAAATGACAGGAAATTCAACTTCACCGTAATAACTATTATATTGTAGTGATACAAATCAGTATACACTGATTTGTTGTTATATATTATATTAAAATAACAGTTACATATATATATGATTTGCATCCGTTTGTATATCATTCTATTCTACTGTTCTAATAATAGTGCAATGCAAGTGCATGGTGGACACTTTTCTGTAAAAATTCGATTTTTCTAAGATTGGATACGAGTAGGCATTCATATTTTCCCGCAAAAACAATTACAGAGTTACCGGTCCTGTCGCAAAACGTTCTTTGAGATATTCTTCCGCATGCTTTAACACAATTTTTCGGTACGTGTGCATTGATATTATCAATGATTTTTTACTTATATATATATATATCTAACTACAAAACATTTTCACATTATTAATTTATGTTGTAAACAAAAATATTTTTATCAGTATTCATTGAAGAGATGTATTTATATCAAATGACAAGGAATGTTATTTTGCACTCGTTTATGTGCGCATATTTATCTTTTTTATAGATCGGTTACAAACCCAAAACTAATTTACATAATGGAAATCTAGGCGATAGCAATACATCGGAATGACCTCAAGGTCATCGCGATGTAAAAAAAATCACGTTTTGAATCTAAGTATAATGGTTTCATTCCAATATATCAAGATATATTTGAAACTTAATCTAACTTTGTGTCAGATAGTCCAGTAAAATGGAAAAAAAAATATGCTATTACTTGAAAAAGTTCATATTATTTTTGAAAAAAGTATATTTTTGTTGATTTTCCATCAAAATTGACCGTGAAAGATTGTTCAACGCATTATTTTGATCGCGAAAGACAAGGCGTGACCAGACTTGATCAGAAGACAACATTTCTTTTGTAAATTGATATATATGTACTTGTAATTGGTTGAAGCGTGTAATTATGATATACTTGTAATTGGTTAAAGCGTGTAATTATGATATACTTGTAATTGTTTGGAGCGTATAATCAATTACTAAGAAACGTAAATTAATGCTTTCATTTTTGTTGTTGTAAAATATGTATCTTTATATATATATATCTTCATACAGACCCATATTTAGACCTGTTTTCATTTAAGAAACAATGCTAAATGTAACTAGGCATCCGAGATAATAAGACCTCCAGGAGCGTGAATTGTCGAAAAGTAAATATTTTTGTATATTTAATGCTAAATACATCCACGAATGAATGAAGTAAGAGGGGTCTGATGGTCTTTCCCTGGTAATATCTTAATGTGTACTTTTTTGTTTTCGTAAGTGTAAGCCCAAAGAAGCTGTATCATTTAGTTTTTACATAAATGTGTATCGAAGATGTTCTTTCCATTAGCAATACAAAATTTTCTGATTGGGTCCCATTAATAGTCATAAACTAGAGATTACAGACATCACATACTAGTATACAGCTTCCTCATTTTAAGACATATATCCCGAATTTGACTACAGCGGTCATCTCAATACCACTATTAAAATTATAAACTTTCCTCACCTTAGCAGCGATTTACCCATTTCATCAGCGTATATAGTATACATTTTTCAGTAGCTTGCAGCTGCTACTCCGAGTTTGTTAAACGTTGTCAGTGCCTGATCAAACAAAATAATGAGCCAAGGTTTTGTGAAAGAACGTATCGTCCTTTTTCTCAAAATGTCATTGGAAAGTTCCAACACTTAATAGATAAATATTCAGTGTCTGCTTAACAAATAATACAGGATGGTCTTTTGTTAGAGATTCCATGTTCTGACTTTGTGTAGCATTTTATCTACTTTACAGTTTTACCTTTATTTGTCTTTGTACTATTATGTTTCATTTAGTCGTATGCTTCTTGACGTGGGTAGGTATATATATGCATCCAGCTTTCAGGTTTTTGGCTTTTGGCGTTCCATTTGCGGGTGTGTCCAAAGTGCGATTCGGACGCATGAGGTTTTTATAGTGTTGTTTTCATTTTGTATACCCTTGTATTTATAATTTACTTATTTTGTATTTTATCGGGAAAGTGTATATATCATCACGTAAGGAGTCCCTTAAGTGCCTTGTTAATACTAATATTTTCGTTTGCGGTAGATTTAATCTGGTGCGTACTAGTTTGAAAAATCGTGCACACGACCTCGAAACTCGTGCGCACGACATTTAAAAGGTGGTGCGCACAACTTTAAAAACCTGGCGCGAACGGATTTCAATATATGTGCGCACGACTTTCAAACTGGTGCGCACGACTTTCAAACTGATGCGCACGAGTTGCAAAAGCATGCGCACCAGTTCTTGAAAGTCATGAGCACCATTTTTGAAAGGCGTGAGCACGAGTTTGAAAGTCATGCGTACCATTTTGAAAGTCGTGCGCGCCAGTTTGAAAGTCATGGGCACCAGTTTAAAACGGTCATGCACACAAGATTGAAAGTCGTGCACAAGAGCTGAAAAGTTTTTCAAACTGGAGCGCACCAGATTAAATCTCCGGCAAACGAAAATATTTATATTTACATTGCACCCAAGGGGCTCCGTAATTATGATTTACTATATTCTCTGTATTAGCAACTACAAAACTTTTTTGTTGGCGTCTTTGTTTGATTTAATTGTAAGTGTTTTTCTCATAAGTGTGTTTGAAAAATCAACAAGATATGACTTTGCATAAAAAATATTAAAAATCAGATAAGACAATCTTAACTTTTCAAAAGACATAAAACTTATGTAGGACGGACAGACGGACATATATTGTTATAACAAAACTAGTCGGTGTGGTATTATCAAAGAGTCAGATCCAATGACAATGAACCATCATAGCCCTATTCACAAACAAAAGTGAAGTGGAATAAGTTATGCAAATCCAATCTTTAGTTATACCAATTTCAAATATTAATTATCACGTGTTTAAAGAAAGATTTGATCGTTTTTGTGGAATTTTGCAATAATGAATAAGCGGAAGCAGAACTTTAACGATCCTTTTCACGATCATCAAAATGCGGTACCTAATCTTTCACGATCCGAAATATCAAATTTTCACAAATATTGTCATTTCTGCAAAGTTTCTGATTGAAATAAATCAAATAACTTTAAGAACTATTTTAAACAGTAATATTGAACGACATTTTTAATAGAAAAGTAGTTTATGCATTAAAAATTTGAAAAAAAATCATGTTTGTTTACATTTTCATTTCTTT